GGAGCGGGAGAGGGAGAAGCAGACTCCCTGCCGAGCAGGGAGCCCGATGCGGGACTCGATCCCGGGACTCCAGGATCATGACCTGAGCCGAAGGCAGTCGCTTAACCAACTGAGCCACCCAGGCGCCCTCCTCGTGATTTTCTTAATAACGTTTTCTTTTCTCTAGCTTACTTTATTGTAAGACTACAGTATACGATATGTACAATATACAAGATGAGTGTTGATCCTCTCGGATACCGGTGTTGGTCAGTGGTAGGCTATTAGTAGTTAAGTTGTGGGACTGTCAAAAGTTATATGTGGGGTTTTGACTGTGTAGGGGGTTGGCGCCCCTCACCCTTGCCCTGTTCCAGGGTCAGCTGTACTGTTTCTTTATCCGTGTTTATAAGTGAGATTAGCCCATGGTCCTCTTTATTCTGTCCAGAATAAATTTGCATCCAGTTGGATGACTTGCTCTTTGGGTGTGGGTGGAACTCTCCATAGAGCTGTCTGGAGCTTGAGTGGACAGGGACACCTTGACTGAGAAGCTGGGGTCTTTGAAGCTTGGAGAGCGGTGGTCTGGAGACAGCCTCTCTCTGATGATGGCCCAGAGGAGCGTGTGGAGACGCGGCACTGTGGCTGCTGGCTGGGGGCGCGCTGTGATGTCCCACACTGCGTTAGAGGCCTGGTGCGTTCTCGGTGGAACCATCAGAGAAGATGATGCCCAGAGGCTCTGTTTGCCCCGGGGATGTCTTAGGCACTGGGTGTCTGGGCAGGATTGGCTGCCTCCCTAGCGCCTCATCGGCTGTGATGAGCCCAGTTGAAGATCGACTGGGCAAAGCCAGTTTGAATAAGGAAAGCCTTCATAGGCCAGCTGTCCTCATATTCTGGCAAAGGAAGGGAATGAATTCTTGCTTCCTGAAGGATGACCAAAGCTCTAGGCCAGAGAGAAAGATCCTTAGAACCAAGCTGAGCTCAGATCTGCCCTGCTGGGGGCGGTCTCTCAGATGTCCTCTCCCTCCCCTCACCCCACTTGCCCTGCTCCCACATCCCATGAGCTGCTGACAATGACTGAGATTTGGAGCCTGTCCCAGTCTATTCACTATCAATCCTTTGCATTTTTCCCTTACGAGGGACCTTCGGGGGGCCAGGCCCGTATCACAGCCTTTCCTCTCTGTATTTTATGAGGCATTGTGTGTAAGAAGAGTCAAGTACTTGGGGAGTTAAATTAGAATGCCTCAAAACCACCCTGAAATGCTGACAGCGGTGCTAAGTGGGGCCCTCTTGGAGCAGACCGGCAGAGAGGGTGGGTGGGCATCGCTTTTCCTTGAGCCTTGAGCCAGTGGGATAGTTGAGCTGTCTCTGGCCATTCAGAGTGTGTTCCTGCACGCCTCCCTGCTGAGCTGTGGCCAGGCAGGCACAGTGGGCAAGGGGGGGGGGCACAGGTCTAGTCTGCCTATGGAGCCCCGAAACAGAAGGGTTCCTGTGTGTTTGTTGGACTTCTGCCGCTGTGATGCCCGGGTAACACGCAGCACCAGCATCTCAGTGCCTGTCACAACAGAGATCCTGTTTCGTGCTCATGGCCCTGCAGGTCACCTGACCATCCCGGCTGGGTCAGGCTGCCCCTGGGCTGTGAGGCAAGTTTAGGGTCTTTGTTCTGGAGCCCACATGAAAGGGCAGCAGATCCCAGGAGCACAAGAGGCCAAGCCAGACACACAAACCCCAGGAAAGCCTCGGCGTGGGTCACCTCTTTGGACTTGGCAGTGACCAGAGCAAGGCCACAGCTGAGCCAGCACCCGGTGTCGACCAGGGAGGGGTGGTGTCTGCTCTGGTGGGCGATCCTGCAGAGTCAGCCTGCAGAGCACATGGTATCCGATCCTCCAGCTTTGGGAACAGGAACCCCAGGAAGTTCTGGGTGCTTGTGTTTTCTGCCGGATGTAGGATGCAGGGTGCCCGGCGTGGGGGAGGCTGTCCCGTGTTTGACCGACCGAGTGAGCGTCAGCCCACTGAAGGTTCTGATCTGAGTCTTTAGAGAAGGACGTTGAAAGTCATCTCACTAGAAGGAGCCACAGGTCTTAGAAAATGGCTCATAAACCGGTGTTGGAAGAATGTTGTCCTTGCATGCCATTTCTCTGATTTTATTGACATTTTGCTTGAATTCTGTCCTATTTCAGGGAAATAGTGGAACATATGGTCCAGCACTTTAAAACACAGATCTTTGGGGATCGGAAACCAGTGTTTGATGGAAGAAAGAATCTCTACACAGCGATGCCCCTTCCAATTGGGAGGGATAAGGTAAGTTTACAGGGATGCGTTTGCATCAGACGATGTGCAATGAGGTAAAATTCAAACGTGTTGTTACATACTAAATCACCTGGGAGGAAAGTGCGGCCGGTTGCTGTGTGCTTCATCCTGAGATCTGTAGAAACTACTTCTGTGTGTTGTGCTCACCTGTGTTGGTGGGGGGGTCAGCCAGGTTCAGAGACAGGAGCCGAGAGCTTCTCAGAACGACAGCACACGTCACACATGCCGCACCCCCCCCACCCCCGTGCACACACATGCACGGCGCCTGCGCCACACGCCGCCGTCAGACCAGAGCCCAGCTTGCTGGGACTGTAGAGACCCGTGGAAGAGCATGTTTGCGGGGCTGGGATGTGTGTGATGGTGGCCGTGAGATCCAGCAGAGGTCCAGCCTGAGCCACGGTTCCCGCTGAATGATAATCACTGATCAGTAACCACCAGGGATAGTGCTAATATTAAAATGTTGCCTTTTCTTATTGTTTTTGTTGTCATGGCTTTACTTAAAGAGTAATACAATTTCTGCCTAGAAGTTGTCACTTCTTGGCACATCTTCCAACAAATGGGCTGATCCAGGATGGTTTATTAATAGGAGAAGAGCAAAGCTCAGCTCAGAAATAATCTTCACACAAACTTTAAAAACAAAAAACACAGCAGAGAAATAAGTAACTTCACGAGTGTCCCAGTGAGAGCAGTGAAGTTGATTCCGTTTGAGAATGACCTACCCAATTAACTTCTTAAGCCCCTGGGTCCCTGGGAAGGAGTGCAGCTGGGTGCTTACAGAGTCTCACACTGCTGGCCAGCAAGATGCAGGTTCTCCGCAGCCATGAAATGTTTTCGCTTTTCCGTTTTTTTATAATCTCAACATGACTGAGTTCCTTATGCTCGTCTGAATCGCCAGGAGACCAGGCAGTTTTGGCGCTGGGTGGCACAGCTCGGACTTGGCCGTGCTCTGATAACAGAGTACGTTATGGCCGAGGCAAGGCCACGCCGTGATAAGGGCTCCTTACCAGCTGGTCTCAAGGGGATCCCGAGATAACAGTGGTGCATGACGGGGCTGGGTGGGGGTGACTGACATTGGCATTCTGAATTAGAGGGAGTCCCGGGACCCTTTGCCTGTCCACTGAGTTGGGATCATGCCTTGCAAAGAAACATGCTGGTGCATTTGAAATTTATTGATTATGAAGTTTTTAATTTGCACGTTTGTTTTTGTTTAAACTTGTGTAAGAGAAAAAAGCATAAGGAGTTTATTCCCAGTTTATCTGTACACATGTATAATCAGACACTAGGCGGGGCATAGGAACATTTTCCTTCAGAAGGAGTGGGGGAGTCGATACAGTGTTCAAATTTGAAACTTGTCCTTATAGAAGTTAACCAGGCTCTGGGGTAAACCAGGACCTGATTCAGGTGCTTGCGTTGCCCTCTTCTGGGGTGGGACCTTGAGGAAGCCATCTTAAAGCCCCAAGTGCCACATCTATAAAAGCAGGGCGGGGGGGGGCGGGGTGTACAGAAGCCACCTCCCAGGGTTCTTGTGAAAACTGAATGAATCCCCCCCAGGAAGAGGATCTCCACCAGTGATGAGCTGCATGTGCCCCTGATGCAGGACCTGGGGGAAGGGGGTCTGCATTTCTACGACGCAGCTCCCAGGTGATGCCCATACTGCTGGTCCCAAATCATACTTAGTATCGTCAGGGTTTCAAGTACTTAATTACAACACGGCCAGCAGAGACTGCTGGGTGTGGTTAGTGGTCTAAGAGGTCAGGATGTGCCCTCCATGCTCTCAAGTTTCACCCCCCGCTTTTTGTGCGTTCTGCAGATGAGCATGGAGAGCCTGCCCCAGACCGCTGCTTCCCATCATTTTTCAGTTTCTGTCAAACAGTTGCGATATGCAGATGTTAATCTCTTCAGTTTAAGAGCTGATATGATGTGGCCCCTTTCCTGCTCCCAGATACTCACCTCTTGTGGCAAATCGTCTCTTGCTGTTGTTTTCTTTTACTTTTTTTTTTTTTTTTGGTAAAGTACTTTTCTTTGTGTGATGGGCACTTCTGTAGCCCGAGAAAATCCTTTACTGTCCCCTTCACCTGTGTGTGCTGGTGGCTGGATGGGGGCTGCAGGGGGCTCTCGTCCAGGTCTGCACACAAAACGTGGCCTGTGGCCCGTGGCTCTCACTCACGGAAGGCAGCGCTTGTAGTTTATCGTTTCTCCTGCTAAGTAGCTCACGCGCTTTAAGTCCAGCCCCTGTGTGGGAGGCCAGGCACCCTGGTTGGGCTGAGAGATGCTGTGGCCCAGACCAGGCCCTCACGTTTCAGAATCTGAGACTGAGGAAGCTGTAGGAGTTGATCACCATTTGGGGTTTAGCTCCCAGGCCCTCTTCCCAGTGACATAATGTGATTTGCGAGATCAGAATGTATGTCGCTTGTTGCTCCTGGCACTGGGTCCAGCCTTGGGACCCCTCTTTGGGTCTTCAGCTTCTTGTAGCTACATTCTCTCTCTGCTTATTCAGGGAAGGCATGAGTGTCTCCTTCCTAGAAGGCAGTCACACGTCAGGCCAGGGGCACAACTCGAATCGGTAAGAGACCCCACGAGGAAGGGAGGACATGTCTGCACAAACACACGGCTCGGCGCTGCCGCCTGTTCAGCTCTGTGCTGCACATCAGGCCGGGGCCGTGAGCGCAAGCCCGCTGACTGCTGACTTGAACAGGTGATGGGGGTTCTGGGCAGGGCAGAGAGGCTTCCGCGCTGGCTCCGAGGGTCAGGAGGTTTGAGGGCAGGCAGGAGGGGAGGGCAGAGGCCGTGGGGGCAGGGAACCACCTGTCAGGTCCCTTCCTTGGGCAGCATCCAGGTAAAGGGTCTGCTCAGCCTTGTCTGCTCTTTGGGGCTATTCTGCTGCCTCCCAGCGCTAAGGGTCCCTCCGGGAGCCACAGCGTTTGTCCAAGTGCCTTGAAGCCAGCTGGCCCGGGTCAGAGGTGCTCGGCAGGTGTGGCTCTCACCTGGCAGAGCCGCCACTTGCTGGTACCTGCGGGTCGCACTGATGAGGGTGACTGAGTCCCCACGCCCCTCGCAGACGTACGAGGAAGGACTGTGGTTTTGTCCAAAGTGATTTGGAGGGACGACAGTTGGCTTTTGAAGAGGCTGGTTGCCGAGCAGTGACAGATGGCCTTTCATATCAGCGCCCTGCACACATCTCGCCCATGACGTGACCTGCACGGCCCGCTCGGGAAGGCTCGGTGGGGGGTGGCCCCGGGCCCTGCGCATACTGCCTCTCTTTCCCCGGAAGAGGTGGCAGTGAGTTCCTGGGGCCTCGGCCACACAGCAGCCCAGTGTAGACAAGAGAACCCGGTGGAAACACCCCTGCCTCCCCCGTCCACGGTTTCTCGGTCACCGACGGTGCTCTTCTCCCGCTCCTCGCGGGGTAGGTGTCCCCGTGGGGCTCCCCCGGGGCAGCTCTGGAGACTTTGAGTGTGGGCCTTTGGTCTGTCTGAAGAGCCTGACTCTCACTTCTCCGGGCCGGGGTGTAGCCGGCAGCCCCTGCGTCCCACCACCTCCAGTCAGCAGCCTTGGGCTGCTGCGTTGTTGGGACCGAGAGCGGCAGGTTGGTGAGAAATTGAAGTATCTCGGTGTGTGGACGGACTCTGCTGGCCGGGGCCCAGACCGACATGAGGGTGTCCTGAGGCTGGCGTCACAGCCGAAGGCTGGCGCCGCCCCGCCCCGTGATGGGGCATTTCTTCTGAAGGTGCCACTGTCCCGAAGCTGTCGGATAGGCGTGCCAGGCAGCCCCTCGAGGCACCCTGTGTGTGGCAGACTCGTGGGGCCTGGAGCTGGTTCCGCTCCCTTTGTGTGGGGCCACGAGGAGGCCGGGCCGGAACCCCCTTAAACATGGGTAGAAGTATCTTTTGCTGAAGGAAAACACACCCCCTCCACCCCCCCCCTTAGTTTGCTTGTGGAGGCGTTTCCCCCAGCTTTACGGAGGTATAATTGACACATAAAATTGCATATATTTGAAGTGTGCATGATGACTTGATATATGTATATGTTGTGGACTGATCACCACAATTAACACATCCATCACCTCCTGTAATTACCACTTTTTAACTTTTTTTCACATTTTCTTAATTGACGTGGCAAAATGGTATTGCAGTGCTTTTCTTGCAAAGAAAAGTTTGGTTTGTTTATCTGAATGCCTCATTACTTCATAAAAACATCATTTGTGCTCAGGGCCAGACTCTAATCTCCTTAAGGACAGGTTCTCCGCGTGCCTGAGCCCCAGCGCAGCCCTTCCCACGGAGGCTGCCGGCCATAGTCACGCAGGATCGGGGTTGGGGGGGGCATCTTCAGACTTTTATTTCTAATTGGAGTATAGTGGACATGCAGCACTGTATTGGTTTCAGGTATACAACATAGTGATTCAACAATTCTGTCCGTTACAAAATGCTCCCCATGATGAGTGTGGTCACCACCTGTCGCCGCACCAGGTCATGATGGTATTGGCCATATTCCCTGAGCTGCACTGATCATCCCTGTGACTTAACTTATTTTATACCCAGAAGTGTGTACCTCTTCATCCCCTCCATGTACTTCACCCAGCCTCCCTCCCCTCCCCTCTCGTGACCACTAGTCTGTTCTCCATATTTACAAGTCTGTTTCCGTTCTTCAAATTCCAGGTATAAATGCAATCCTGTGGTGGTCGTCGTTCTCTGTGTGTTTCACTTAGCATAATATCCTCCAGATCCATCCATGTTGTTGCAAATGGCAAGAGACCCCCCCTTTTTGATGGCTGAGCAATATTCCATTGTGCATGGATAGCACCTCCTTATCCATTCGTTGGTCAGCAGCACCTGGGCTGCTTTCCTGTCTTGACCATCGAAGATAATGCTGCGATCCGCTCAGGGACGCATGTCTGTTTCAGATTAGTGTTTTCATTTTCTGCAGGTAGATCTCTAGTAGTGGCATTACTGGATCGGACCGTGTGGTGCTCCTGCTGTTCGCTTTTTGCGGACCCTCCGTACTGTCTGCCACGGTGGCTGCGTCCCCGCCGGCACTCTGTACTGGTCGTCTTTTTTTTTTAAAGATTTTATTTATTTATTTGAGAGAGAGAGAACGAGAGACAGAGAGCATGAGAGGGAGGAGGGTCAGAGGGAGAAGCAGACTCGCCGCTGAGCAGGAAGCCCGATGCGGGACTCGATCCCGGGACTCCAGGATCATGACCTGAGCCGAAGGCAGTCGCTTAACCAACTGAGCCACCCAGGCGCCCCATGATTTTAT